GGTCACACCAGGAGACACCTTCCCGCTGACAGAGGCCACACCACCCGGCTATAGCCCACGACTTAACCGCCATGGTGGCGGTGTGGCTTTCATTTCCCGGTCCCCACTCGGCCTATCCCTTACTCCTCCAGAATCTTCCCCTCCTTTGAGCACCTTACCCTTTAACATCCTTCCAACCTTTCCCTCAAAATTCTCCTTTTTTATCCCCCCAGCCCTCCCCTACCTTCCTCCCCGACATCTCTACCCTCCTATCTTCCCTCTCACTCTGCTCCGAACTCCTCCTCATCCTCGGCAATTTCAACCTTCACGTTACTGCCTCCTGCTTGACCTTTGCTGACTTCTCCTCCCTCCTCTTCTCCCTCAACCTCTCCCTCCACATCCACTCCACTACCCATGTATGCAGTCATCCCCTTGACCTGGTAATCACCCAGGGCCTCACCATCTCGGACATCACCATCACTGATAAAGCCATCCCGGACCACCACTTAATTTCCCTTAACACCTCCGTACCCCTTCCCCCTACCCAACCTACTACTATCACCTACCGCCACTGGAAAAAATCTCCCAACATTCACTCTCCACTTCCCTGGAGTCTTCCGAACTCCTGCCCCTCTGGCCCTCCTCTCACAATGACCTACCCTCCTTGCTCTCTCTTTTCCACAATTCCCTCTCCTCCATCCTTGACTCCCTTACCTCCCTCACCTCCCGAACAGCCTGATATTCCCATAAATCCCCCTGGTATATCAGCCATCTTCGATCCCTCAAGACATAAGTGTCTGCAGACGAACGCACCTGGACTAAATCAAACCTAACGGTCCATCGGCAGATCTGGCTTGACCACAACAATTTATCGCTCCACCCTCAGCTCTGCAAAATTTTCCTTTTACTCCAAGATAGTTTTGGAGGCCAAGGACAATCCCAGGCTCCTCTTCTCCACCAATAACCACCTCCTCCATCCACCTTTCCGTGCTTCGCCCATCCACTCCTCCAATTCCAACTGTGAGGAGATGTTGGACTTCCTCAAATCCAAAATCAAGGGGATTTGTTCGGCTACCTCTGCCCTATCCACCACTGCCTCCTTGCCACCTCCCCACCACATTCCACACCACACCCATCCTCTCTGCCACCTTGTCCTCCTCGATCTCTCTGCTGCCTTCAACACCATCGACCACTCTATCTTCCTACACCGCCTCTCTTCTCAGCTCAATCTTCATGGACCTACCTTTGCCTTGTTTGAATCCTACCTCTCCTACCATCTACACTTTGTCGCCACTAACGGCTTCTCCTCTATCCCCTGCACAGTCACGTGTGTCATCATCAGGGATCTGTCCTTGGCCCTCTCCTTTTCAATATCTACATGCTCCCTCTTGGTGACATCATCCACAGACATGGGGTCAAATTTCACATGTATGTGGATGATACCCAACTCTATCTCTCTGCCTCCACCCTCGATTCCAGAACCACAGCTGTCCTCACAGACTGCCTGTCGGACATTTAGTCCTAGATGAGAGCTAATTTTCTACAGTTGAACATCAGCAAGACCGAGACTCTCCTAATTCGATCGCTCCAGCGCCTCCGCACCTCAGGCACTGGCAACATCAGCAACCACGATTGCACACTCCACCTCACCAAGTCAGTCGGATCTGCCCCCACCCTCTGGAACTCCATCCCGCAGTCCCTCTGCCTCGCCCCCTCCCTTGCCTCCGTCAGGACCTGTCTCAAGACCCTCCTATTAGACCATGCCTTCGGCCACCCTCCTTACCCGTCTGGCCTCCACCCTCCTCGATCCCAACCCCCAACTCGGGTCCAAAACATTGATTGTCCAGCGCCTTGGGACTTCCTCCGACGTGGAAGGCACCATACAAATGGAATTTTGTTGTGGTGGTTTTCGTTGTCCACAGCAACACAATAATAATGATCCTTGCATTTGATAAAGTGCCTTATTAGGGGGTCATTGAAACATCTCAAAGCGCTTCACAGAATATATTTACTATAATCTTCTGGGCTGTAAATATACATGATTCTAATCCCTGAGTCCCTGAACTGTCAAGATCTTCCCCCAGGGGGCAATGTCTCCAAGACTTGAACCTGAAATTGGTTCCAATAATAATAATCCTTGCATTTGTTGCAAGGCCTCATCATGTCGTCGCAACATACTTTTCTCCTGTTGTTGTAATCCTAAACCCTATTGAAATGACGATCCTTGCTGGACAAGCAGTGAGAAGCTTGCCAAACAAATTGCACACAGCGAACAGCCGAGGAGTAATTGATCAGTTTTTTTTAATTAGGGGATTGTTGGCCAGGACATCGGGAGAAATTCCCATCTCGTTTTTAATAGTGCCACAGGATCTTTAAAGTCCACCTAAACAGGCACACAGGGGACCTCGGTTTAATGTTTCGGCTGAAGGACGACACCTCCGACAATGAAGCACTGCATTACACTATCAACCAAGGCCATCAGTTCAAAACCCCAACATGGGTCATGAACCCACAACTTTCTGACTCAGAGGCAAGATTGCTACCACTGTACCATGCTGACACCTGAGGAATCCTTTCAAAAATACACTGTCGGATTTTCTTTCGCTGAATTGTATTTGTGCCATATATAGCTGAGGAGTGCTGGATTCACACCAGCATTTAACCTGTTTAATTAAACTCTGTTATATTCATAGTTTCTTGCTTTAGTTGCAGAGCCTATAACATCAGAATGTCTCAAATGTAAAAACAATAATAATAATCCTTGCACTAGATATTGCACCTTATCACATCTTTAAGAGGTCTCAAAGCACGTCACAGGATTTATTGTAATGTGTATTGACTGGACTATGTATTTGTTGCAGCGGAAGAAACTCCCTTCTCTTTTTCAATAGTGTTACAGTTATCTTTAATATTCACCAGAACAGGTGGATAGGTGCTGTGGATTTTACTGTCTAACCTGAGGGAGGGACATGGAGACTTTGAGCTCATAACCCGGTACTGGGGTAGTGCTGCATTGTTAGAGGTGCTGAAACTCGGATGAGACATTAAACTGAGGTCCCAACCGCTGGTTCATGGAATCAGAGAAATTTACAGAGCAGAGGAGGCCATTTGGTCCACTGAGTTTTTACTGGCTCCCAGAGCAAATAAGTTCTAATAGCACTGCCTTGCCCTACCTTCATACCCTTTCAAGCATCTGACTTTAACATTTACCTGTTCTACTTCCATCTTGAAATCCACAATAGATTCTGCCTCTACCATCTTGTTTAGCAGGTGAAAATAATAATCCTTGCATTTGATATAGTGCCTTATCACGTCGTTGAGATGTCTCAAAGCACTTCACAGAATATATTGTAAAGTGGGTTGACTGTATATTTTGTGGGCAAAACGCAGCAGCCAATTGCGCACAACAGGGGAGGTGTGAGAGGGTGGGTGCGGGGGGGGAGGTGTGTAGAGGGTGGGGTGCGGGGGGGGGAGGTGTGAGAGGGGGTGGGGGGGGGGAGATGTGTAGAGGTGGGGTGCGGGGGGGAGTTTTGTAGAGGGTGGGGTGCGGGGGGGGGAGGGTGTGTAGGAGGTGGGTGCGGGGGGGGAGGTGTGTAGAGGGTGGGGTGCGGGGTGGGGGAGGTGTGTAGAGGGTTGGGGTGCGGGGGTGGGGGAGGTGTGTGGAGGGTTGGGTGCAGGGGTGGGAGATGTGTAGAGGGTTGGGTGCAGGGTGGGGGAGATGTGTAGAGGGGTTGGGTGCAGGGGGGGAGATGTGTAGAGGGGTTGGGTGCGGGAGATGTGTAGAGGGGCTGTGTGCGGGGTGGGGCAGATGTGTGGAGGGGCTGTGTGCGGGGTGGGGCAGATGTGTAGAGGGGCTGTGTGCGGGGTGGGGGAGATGTGTAGATGGGCTGTAGGAGGGCGGAGGTGTATAGAGGAGCTGCGAGGGGTGGGTGGGGGAGTTGGCGTGTGGGGCCACAGCTGATTTCACTGTGTTTGCTCGGTTACAGAGAGCTCGAGCTGGAGCAAGATTGAGCCGAAGGGGAAGGGTCCATGCCCGCGGCGGAGGCAGTGCTGCTGTATGGTGGCTGACAAAATCATTCTGTTTGGAGGCACCAGGTCAGCCTTGGGGAGGGCGGGCATGACCTGGAGGGGAAGTGGGGTGGGGGTGGGGGGGTGGTGATCACGAGACCCCGGGTGTTGTGGGGTTCGTTCATCTCAAAATGACATCAAGACATAAGTGTGAGCTTGAGTGACTGTGGAATTTGGTCCATGATCTATGTCCAGTTCTCAGTTAACTAACGGAGGCCAGGAAATGTGTGAGGCTGTCCCCTGGATCCCATTGGTCATCAGCCCCCTTTCACTCGGGTGACTATGACTAGTGACCCCTTCCCGTGTCCCTGTGGAGTCCCGTAGTGTAGTGGTTAGCACGCTCGCCTCACAAGCAAGAGGATCCGGGTTCGATTCCCGGGCAGGGCGAAACCTTGGGCAAATTTTCTTACTCCATACGCCTGCTTTTACCCAGTTGTTTAGTCAATTGGCGGATCGCTTTCCGGGGGTAATAATCCCTCATAAAAAATGTGATCCCTCAATATATGACTGTTTGTGGGACACTGCTGTGCACAATTGGCTGCTGTGTTTCACCCATAAAACACGGTCAATGTATTCTGTGAATTGCTTTGAGATTTCTCAACAATGTGATAAGGCGCTATTTCAAATGCAAGGATTATCATTATTATTATATGGCTACCAGCCTCCCCCCCCCCCCCACCACCCTGTAACTAGGATGTTCTCTGGTCAGTATCTGGGATCCTGGCTGCAGTCTGAAAGCTGTTGTACGTCTGTCCCTGGCTGCCCGAATCCGAGCTGTTATCAGCGGCAGAGGTTGTTACTGCTCTTATCTGAGTGGGCAGCACAGGGCTGAGTCTTGCTGATAAGGCCTTTGAGAATTTGGGCTTGTACATTGCAGAACAAGATAGCAGAGCTGTACACACGCAGATTGAAGAGGCTGTTTGTTGGCAGGAGATCAGCTGCTACTTTGTTACAGTGAGACCGAAGCTTAGCTCTGAGTCCGAGCCCCAATAATACGCTTGGGTTTATTTAATTCTGTTTTCAACGTAAGTTTATTATTATTGTTATTTTCCCAGGCGGGATGAAACCTTAGGCAAGTGTCCTTACTCCACATGCCTCTATTTACCTAGCAGTAAGTAGGAACCTAGTCTGCTGGTCAATTGGCAGATCACTTTCCGGGGGTAATCCCTTTTTTAAAAAAAATTGTTCACTCAATCCATGACTGTTTGTGGGACAATACTGTGCGCAATTGGCTGTAACGGTTCGACCACAAAATACACAGTCAATCCACTTCACAATATATTCTGTGAAGTGCTTTGAGATGTCTCAAAGACGTGATAAGGCACTATATATGCTTTCATTACATCGAGGCTCAACTATGGAAACTCATTGCTTGTCGTCCTCCCCTACTCCCCTCCATAGGCTGCAGACCATCCAGAACTCTGCAGCCCGGGTCCTCTCCCGCACTAGGCTCCGCGACCCTATCACCCCCATCCTTGCCCGACTCCACTGGCTTCCCGTCACACAGAGGATAAAGTTCAAGATCCTGGTCCACGCCTTTAAAGCCCTCCTTGGTCTTGCTCCCCCCTACCTCTGCGACATCCTAACCCCCTACCATCCTGCTTGCTCCCTCCGCTCAGCGGGCTCTGGCTTGCTTCACGTCCCCCGCCTCGCTCGCCCCACTATTAGCGGGCTGCCTTCCGCCACTCTGCCCCCACCCTCTGGAACTCCAACCCGCAGTCCCTCCACCTCGCCCCCTCCCTCGCCACCTTCAAGACCCATCTCAAGACCTTGCTCTTCAACTGTGCTTTAGCCCTCCCTACTTTTCTCCACCCTCCCTGACCTTGACCCCCAGCTCGGGTCCTTGGGACGTCCTCCCGACACGAAAGGCGCTTTACAAATGTAATTTTATTGTTGTATATCAAATGCAAGGGATTATTATTAATTCATAAAATTGGGTGTGAGATTTTACTGTGTTTGTGTGTGTTTGTAAGTACAATTGACTGTGTGTGTATGTGTGAGAATTGACTGTGTGTGAGAGGGGGGGAGAATTGAGTGTGTGTGTGTGTGTGTGTGTGTGTGTGTGTGTCCCACCAGCACTCTTACCTGATGCTGGGAGTTACTGTGATGTGGGGTTTGGGTGAGAGACTCTTGAGTGTGAATATGGTGCTCTGCTTAATGTCCCAAGTATATTTTCCATTTCCTGCCTTGCCCCTGACCTCCTGTGCCCCATGTTGGAGCTGTGCAGGAAGTATTAAATGTCTGCATTACTTCCCTGACACCCTGCTGCTGATGCGAGCAGTAAACACTGCCCTGGCACGAGCTGTGTGTGAACAATGCCCCCAGGGACTCCACGCTTCTTATCTAGCTCCACAGCATTTGAGATTAGCTCCCTCCCTCCCTCCCCCTCTGCCATCCCCTTTCTTTAATGCACTGAGAGGGCAGGGGTCAAGTGATTCCTAAAACTCGAATGTCAAAGTTGGCTGGATTCTTCGTGAGCATCTCCTGGCTTTTGGTAGGTCAGGGTTATAATAATAATCCTTGCATTTTGTTAGCTCCTTATCACGTCGTTGAGATGTCTCAAAGCGCTTCACAGAATATGCTATGAAGCGAAATGACTGTTTTGTGGCTGAAAGGCGGCAGCCAGTTGCGCACAGCAGTGTCCCACAAACAGTCATGGATTGATTGGCCAAATTATTCTTATTTTTTTTGAAGAGATTATTACCCCCGGAAAGCAATCCGCCAATCGACTAACAACTGGGATCCTACTTACTGCTAGGTAAACAGAAGCGTCTGGAGTAAGCAAACTTCCCTTAGGTTTTGGACCGCCTGGGAATTGAACCCAGATCCTCTCACTTGTGGGCGTGTGCTCTAACCTCTATGCTACAGGATTCCATCAGGGTTACAGGGTACCTGGTGCGAGAGTCACTCTCACTAATGCCACATTGCACCAGCACTGACGGCCTTTTTGTTGGACTCAGGTCCGGAGGAGACTTTTTGCATGTCCCGTTCCACACGGTGTAAGCTGGTGAAAGCGTCCCAGATTCTCTGAAATATCTAGGAAAGAAGCACAGCAATTTACAAAAGCCTACATTTAAACAGCGCATTCATTAATATAGCACGCTTCCATAGGGTGAAATCTCAGAGTACTTCACAAGGACAGAATCAGGCAAATCGGACTCTGAGCAAAGGAAAAGGGGTAGGGGAGGTGGTCATGGGGACATTATTAATGGGAGGGAGGAGGGCGGAGAATCTTGGAAGATTTCGCAGAATGACATTGATTGAAATCAGCAAAAAAACGACATTTGTATAGCGCCTTTCACATCGGGAGGGCGTTCCAAGACGCTGGGTGAAAACAACATAAATACTACAGAGTCAAACACAGCAATGTCCCTTCAAGCTGCAACGTCCCTGCACAGCAACAAAACTAAGTTCTTGAGCAATTTTAATGAGGGACAAAGGAACAGGAATGGGCCATCCAGCCCCTCGAGCCTGTTCCATGATCAGATCATGGCTGATCTGTACCTCAACTCTATTTACCTGTCTTTGCCCCATATCCCTTGATACCCTTACCTAACAAAAACGTATTCATTTCAGTCTCGAAAATTTCAATTGATCCAGCATCCACAGCCTTTCAGAACAGTTAGAGAGTTCCAGATTTCCATTCCCTTTGTGTGAAAAGGAGAAAGTATAAGCTGGTGTCACCAAAGGAATTCTTTGAAATAGAGATTGGTTGGATAGGGGGAAGGAGTCATTCACATCCACCTGAATACCAAAGCAGGTGTAAAGTATGACTTGATAAAAAATGGGATGTCGATCTGGAAATAACTAAACTCATATGTATTGTAGAGGATGTTATTTAAGCAAGCTCACCAGGTAGTCTTGTCAGTATTATCTCACACACAACAAATTGAGTAACCAGATTATTTCGATTTTTTTTGGTAACAAGGTTTACAAAATCCACCTTTTTTTATAGCTCCCTACTGCTGCCATATTGAATTGTCTCGGAAGCGCTTCAGTAATTACTAAGTGCTATCAACACTCTTGCCTCTTGAGTTGTAAATTCAAGCCTCGCGTCAGGACTTTGATCTTGCAGTCTCGACTGACATGGGGGAGTGCAGCATTGTTGGAAGTTGGATGAGATGATAAACTGAAATCCTGTCTGCCTGTTCAGGTGGATGTTAAAAATCCCATGGCACTATTGGAAAAAAGAAGGGAGTTTCTCTCTCTCCCAGTCTCCTGGTCAACAACTCCTCCAGATAAAATCTTTCACTCACATCATGTGTGTAAATTAGTTGCTGCTTTTGCCTACAAAACACAGTCACTATGCTTTACGGTAAATCCTGTGAAACACTTTGAGATGTTTCCAAGACATTATTTTATGGTGATCAGGGAACCACTAAACCGTACGATAAATCAAGAAATATATGAAGAAAAAACAGAAACACATTACCGATCAAACACTTAACTAGACTTGTGCGAATGCTAGTTGATTGGAGGATTGCTTTCCGAGGGTAATAATCCCTCCAAAAAATCACTGACTGTTTGTGGGACATTACTATGCGCATTTGGCTGCCACTTTTTGCCCACAAAATATACTTAATATATTCTGTGAATCACTTTGAGATGTGATAAGGCGCTATCAAATGCAAGGATTATCATTATTATTATGATGTTCGTGCGGCTGCTTCTTGATGGCCCCATGGGCCACAGGTTGGTTATATTACACCAAACAAACATTTAGCCATTAGAAACCAAGCTAATAATGTGGCCAGTAATCAGAACTGCCACTCGCTATCAGCTCAGATAAGCACTCTGCTTCACAGCAAGTGCTTGTGGATGAAACACTCCTCACAGCTCAGGACAGACGCTAGACAGGAAGTCCGGTGGGGGAGAAGAGAGGAGGGAGATTTACCGCTGAAACCTCTTCAGGATTAACCTGATAAAAGAGAGAATGAGCTTGCCTTTTTATAGCGCCCATCAGGTTAAAATGTCTCTGGTGCTTCACAAGCAATTACTGTTCAACGTAGTGATGATAGTCATGACCAAGCAGATCAACTTCAAGATCCTCACTCGTGTTCAAATCCATTTACTCCCTCGCACCTCCCCATCTCTCCGACCGCCTCACTCCCCAGTCCACCACCCAGCACCTCCGCTCGACTGGCACCAGCTTCCTGCTCATCCCTCGCCCCCTTCCCCCGCAACCATCAGAGGTTGTGCTTTCAGTTACTATGCTCCAAATCTCTGGAACACTCTCCCTTATTCCCTCCGACTTGCCCCCTCTCTACCCTCTTTCAAGTCCCGCCTGAAAACTTTCCTGTTCGACCGTGCTTACGGCCACCTCCTTCTCCCCTGGCTCGGAGTCAGGCTCTGCCACTGCTAAGCGCTCTGAGACACTACCCTGCGTGGAGGGTGCTATATAAATACAATTTGTTGTTGATAGTGTAAACAACTGCAGTAGCTGTTTGGATGCACAAGTGTCCAGCATGATCAAGCTACATCACCCAGGTGTCTGTTGTTCACGAGTGAGGTTTGAGCAGGGTTTGTGACCAACGCCGGGGTTGAGCGAGGACTGGATCTGGGTCACTATCGAAAAGCCTCATGTCCTTGCCTGCTGGGCTAATATTGGAAGAAGAGACACTTTGGGGAGAGGTTTCAACATTGAACCATCCCCCACACAAGTGAGGCAGAGACCTGAGGAGGTGATGGAAAGTTTTACTTTTGTTTGCTTTGGAAACTTGAATCTGGCTGGTGGCTGACTGAAACTCTAACCAAGCTCCCAGTCCCTCGAGACACTAAACCACTGCACTCTGCATTGCTATTTCAGCTCTTTTCCCTCTTATCACTTACCTAGTATTGTGCTGTGTGTATATCAAACCAAAGCAGCTTTGCGCACACAAACAGAGCTTGGTATGGTGGTGGTGAGGGGCGCTGCGTGAAGGGTTAGGGAGTTAAGGGGTGGGGGTGAGGGGTTGAGTGTGCCTGTGTGCTTTCAGCCACTACGGTGGCTTCACTTTCAACTACTCTCCGAAACTCTGGAACGCCCTTCCTCAAGCCCTCCGTGGGCTGCTTGAGGGGTTGGGAAATTTACCATGATTCCTGGAGTTTTGCTTGTTTAGTGCAAATAGTGAGAGAGGCAATACTGCCTAATGGCGAGTGAGCAATGAGGATTTTCTGGTGGTGGTTGTTGTGGGGAGGGAAGCAGGTTCACTCCTTTTCATTTATCCCACGTGAAAGGTGCTACATAAAGGCACGTTGTTGTTTGTGGTGTGAGTATATGTGTGTTTCTGCACGGGGGTCCAGGCTATTCGTGGGGATGTGTCTCTGTGTGAGTGTTTGTTTCTGTTTCTCTTGAGACCATGAGCATTGAGGGGAGGGGTGCTATTTTGTGTGTTTGTCCTCAAGCAGTTACGGGGTGGAGGGCTCATCAGACTGAGGCTTTCTGTGCGGCTTGAGTGCCTGCCCCTCACTAGCCTGGATTCTCTAACATGCCTTTGCCTCTGCTTCACAGCCCGTGCCCAGAACAAGGAATGGGTGATGAGTTTAACCTGATGGATCACTCCGACTTGTATATGCTGGACTTCAGTACGTAAAAACTCTCTCCTCTTACACCGGCTGTCTGGCCATGCGGAGTCAGGCCCCCACTGACCGGCTGTGGTGTGTGGATATGTGGTGCCACTGTCTGTGTCATCCCGTCTGCCTGTTCAGGTGGACGTTAAAAATCCCATGGCACTATTCGAAAAAGAGACGAGAATTTGGTCACCCTTTCCATAGTTGTTTGTGGGACACTGCTGCACGCAATTTGCTGCCCCGTTTCGCTCACAAAATACGCAGTCAATCCACTTTACAATATATTCTGTGAAGCGCTTTGAGACTTCTCAGCGACTTCTCAGTAATAAAGCGCTAGATAAATATAAATTGTATTGTAAACTGAGGTCCTGTCTGCCTGTTCAGGTGGACAATAAAGATTCTATTGCACTGTTCGAAAAGAGAAGGGAGTTTCTCTCTCCCGGTGTCCTGGCCAAAAAGCCCCCAAATTAAATTGATCACTCACTCCACGACTGCTGTGCGCAATTGGCTGCTGTGTTTCGTTCATAAAATACAGTCAATCCACTTTACAGCATATCCTGTGAAGTGCTTTGAGACGTCTGAATGATGTGATAAAGCACTATATCAATTGTAAGAATTATTATTATTATCAGCCAGCTCTCAGGGCCTGAATGCAAGATTGTGTGTGGTGTGGGGGTGGTGGACGGAGTGGGTGTGAGTTTGGCTGGATCACCAGAAGCAGAGCATAGGTGTATCTAGGGAGGGAGCTAGCAGTGCCTTGCAGATCTGTGCAGTGCCGATGTTATTTACAGTGCAGGTAAAGGATCAGGGACAGACACCAAATGATCTCTAAATAGCTTCCTAATAAACTAGACAGGTAGAAAAAGTAAAAAGCAGGCCGAGCAATACAGAGGATCTGTGTATTTTAATGAGGTGGATTGATCAGAGGCAAATGTTTCAAGTTGACATGTGGTGAGTGATGCTCGCAAATCTGCTGTTAGCTGAGTGACCAGTGTGCGTACTGTAGCTCTGTCTGTTTCTCCAGGTCCCAGTCTGAAGACACTATGCAAGTTGGCAGTGATCCAGTACAGCCTGGATCAGTCCGTGCTGCCCCACGATATCCGGTGAGTGTGTAACTACTCGCTGATACCTCACTTCCCACCCACCACCCCCACCTGCCCAGGTCTAGGCATTCTCTGCCAGCAAAGCACTGAAGTCCTCTCTCCACTCCTGAAGATGTCTATTTGGGTTGGGATGCTCCCCAGTCCCCCATGTGGCCCTGACCAGCACATATTGTATGGAGTCCCGTAGTTTAGTGGTTAGTGTGCTCGCCTTGCAAGCGATAGGACCCGGGGTTCGATTCCCGGGTGGGGCAAAACCTCAGGCAAGTTTCCTTATTCGACCCAGCAGTAAGTAGGAACCTGGTTGTTAGTCGATTGGCGGATCGCTTTCCGGGGCTAATAATCCCTCCAGGAAAAAAAACCCAGTGAATCCACAACTGCTGTTGCTTTTCACCCACAAAATACACTTTACAGAATATATGAGGGTGTGGATTGGGGCTGTGCTTTCACTGACATGCACTTATCCCATCTGTGCTGTTCTGTAGCATGTGTCCCGTCTAAGCTATTCTGTAGTTTTTTACACCCACCCACAGTCCCTTCGCCTCGACCCCTGCCACCCCCCTTGCCTTCTTAAAGGCCAATCTCAGAGACTCTCCTCTTCGACTGCACCTTCGGTCACCCTCCTACCCACCCTCCCTGTCCTCCTCCCCTCTCGAATCCAAATACCTGACTGTTCAGTTCCTTGGGAACATCCTCCTGACATGAAAGGTGCATTACAAATGCAATTTATTGTCAGGTCCACCTCTCGCCCTTTGACTAAGACACTGTCTCTTTGCTATTGCAGGTGGGAGCTGACAGCAATGACAACCAACAGCAATATTAGTCGCCCCATCTTCTCTTCTCACGGCTGAGTGGACCTCTCGCCCGTGGCTCTGAACAGGAGGCTGGTTCACTCCTGTCTTGTATCGGAGGAAGGGGGCTTCGTTCTCATTGTATTTCACACTCCCAACCGTTCTCTCTATCCTCCACCCAAAAAAATCAAACGTTCACCTCACCACGTCTTCAAGGACTGAAAAGCCTCTCGGGTTTCTACGCAGTGTGAATACTGCAGTGACATACGTGTGTGTGTGTGTGCGTGCGTGCGCAGAGCGCAAGCTCCATTCACGGTGTGCGCGAAGGCGCTTTGAAGGCAAACGCAGCTGAGCGCATCTCCTCTCGCATATACCTCACCCACCTTGCCAAAAAACAGGGTTGAATGGAAGGAAACCCCCTCGCTCATCCTCTCCAGATGTGGATATAGCGCTGTGACGGAGTGTGATTTTTATATATATATATCTATAAATATATGAATATATATAGACCTGTCTGCACAACAGAAAGGAACAATAAAATCATAAGTTTGCTACCATAAGTTTCCAATGTCTGTGTGTGTGTGAGAGAGAGAGAGAAAGAGGGGGCGCGGGGGGGCAGGGGAGGCTGTTTGATTGCATTTCTCTTTATTTGGGGTTTGTCCATCCGTCAGTCACGTATTGAGTGCAACAAAGTGAAAGAAGAAACCGTTTGCGTTTTGGATGTTGGCTTCACTCAATTGGCATAGCACCACTCTCGCCTCCGAGTCAAAAGGTTGTGGATTCGATCCCCAATTCAGGATTTGGAATCGCATAGTCTTAAAATGACACGTCTGCACCGGGGGTGGGGTGGGGAGGATGTTGGGGGTTGATGCCAGGGGCCCTCTGACTCCCTGTCTCCCTCTTTCAAGACACGTCTCGAATCATACCGCTTTGACCACCCTTTTCAATGGAATTAGATGAGCATCTACAGAGGAAGGATAAGAGCGGGTATGGGGAAGAGTAGGTAATTGGGATTAAGATTACATGGATGATTTAGTTACATTAATATAATGGGCTGAATGGCTTCCGACTGGTAGATTTATAATAAATAATAATCCTTGCATTTGATATAGTGCTTTTCACGTCGGGAGGACGTCCCAAAGCGCTTCACGGAACACACTGTAAAGTGAATTGACTGTATATTTCTGGGCGAACACGGCAGCCAATTGCGCACAGCAATGTCCCACAAATAGTCGTAGATTGAAAATGACCAATTTTTTATTGTTTTTGGTTTTGGAGGGATTATTATTAGGCGTGTGGAGTAAGGAAACTTGCCCAAGGTTTCGCCCTGCCTGGAATTGAACTCAGGTCTCTCGCTTGCAAAGCGAGTGCTCTAACCACTGAGCTACAGAACTCCACGATAGTGGAGTATATGGTACAGTACATGGGATTTCTGTAGCGTATTGGTTAGAGTGAAACCTTAGGTAAGTTTCCTTACTCCCCACGCTTCTGATAACCTAGTAGTAAGTAGGAAACTGGTTGTTAGTCGATTGGTGGATCTTTTCCCTGAGGTAATCCCTATATTAAAAAAAATCACTCAATCCGCAATTGTTTTGTGGGTCACTGCTATACGCAATTGGCTGCAGCATTTCGCCCACAAAATATCTAATTCACTTTACAATATGTTCTGTGAAGCACCTTCAGACGTGATAAGGCGCTTTATCAACTGCAACCTCAAACCCAACTGACCCGACCACTCCCTTCGCTCAATGGGCAATGGATTGCTTCACATTTCCCGGTGGCCAGGCTTTTCAGCCTTTTTGCCCCATTCTCTGGAACTCAATCTCTGTGTCACTTTGACTTGCTCACTCCCTCACCTCGTTCAAGGTCCATCTCAAGACCTACCTCTCTGACCGCGCTTTCAGTCATCTTTCCCTTCCTCACGTCCCTCGGCTCCCACCCTCAGCTCAGGTGTCCAGTCAAGACTGCTAAGTTCTTTCGGACATCCCCCCAAAGTGAAAGGCGACGAACAAATGTAAATTTGTATTAATAATAATAATGCTTGCATTTGATATAGCACCTTATCACGTCTTCGAGACGTCTCAAAGCTCTTCACAGAATATATTGTAAAGTGAATTGACTGTATAGTGCCTTATGTTGTTGAGATGTCTCAAATATATTCTCAAGTATAGTTTCAGAATGAATATATCACAGGGTGAATTGACTATTTTGTGGGCGAAACGCGGCAGCCAATTGCGCACAGAAGTATCTCACAAACAGTCGTGAATTGATCCAATTTATTTTTTGAGGGATTATTAACCCTGGAAAGTGAAAGTGGAACCTGGGTCCTCTCACTTGCAAGGTGAGTGCACTAACCACTGTGCTACAGGACTCTACTATGTATTATATTATGGATAGGTCTAAAATGAGTAAGAAGATAGATAATTTCAGTGATAACAGCTTTAGAGAGTGTAAAGATTGGGGTTGGCTCTACATGTTACTTTTGTTACAGCTCTGGACAAAGTGACAAATGACATTCTGTTCACTGGTGACCACAAGGCTCACTCTGTCTCCTTGTCCTTCTCAACCTCTGCTGCTTTCGATACCATTGACTACTATTTTTCTCCACCGCCTCTTCTTTCACCTCCACTTTCTGTCCTTGCCTTGTTCCAATCCTACCTTTTCCACCGTCTGCACTTCGGGTCCATTAACAGCTTAGACCCTGGAGAGTCGCGTGCGGTGTCCCTCAGGGCTCTGTTCTCGGTCCCATCTTGAATATCTACATGCTCCTGCTTTTTGATGTAATCCGCAGCTATGGGGTCAATTTCCACATGTATGCGGATGACACCCAACTCTTATCTTGCCTCCTCCACCCTCAACTCCAGGACCACTGCTGTCCTGGCCAATTGTCTGTCAGACATCAAGTCCTGGATGAAAGCCAACTTCTAGCTGAATGTTGGCAAGACGAGGCCCTCCTGCTTGGTTCCCATCAGCACCTCCTAACCTCAGGCGCTGACAGTGTTGTTATTCATGGTTGTACTCTACACCTCACCGAGCCAATATGGAACCTTGGTGTCCTGTTCGACCCGCAGTTCTCCTTCAAACCTCACATTCGTGCAGTGTCGTGTTCCACCTTTTCCCACCTCCGCAACATTGCTCTACACTGCCACTGCTTCCAAAAGCAGGCCACCGAGACCCTTATTCATCCTTTCATCACATCCCGGCTTGACTACGCCAACTGCCTGCTCGCTGGACTTCCCAACTCTTCCCTCCACGAGCTGCAGATTGTTCAGACGTCTTCAGCTCCTGTCCTCTCTCACACCAGGCTCCGTGAACTGTTCACCCCCATCTTGGCCTGGCTTCACTAGCTGCCCATCCCTCAGAGAATCGAGTTCAAAACCCTTGTTCTCACCTTCAAAGAACCTCCATGATTCTTGCTCCCCGCTACCTCTGCGACCTCCTAATCCCATATTAGCCTATCCGACCCTCATCTTGGCGGACACCAGGCTGCTCCAGGTCCCCCGCGCTTCTCACCCCACCATTAGCTATCGGGCATTCAGCATTTCTGCCCCCACACTCTAGAATTCTATTCCGCAATCCCTCTGCCCACCCACTCTCTTGCCTCATTCAAGTCCCATCTAAAGCCCAAAGAACGTGGTTCAATAATAATAATAATCCTTGCATTTGATATAGTGCTTTATCACGTCTTCGAGAAGAGGTAAACAGGGAGAAATTAGAGGGTAAGAGGTCAGCTGTATAACAGACAGGGTGAGCATCAGCAAAGTCCAAGAGAAGGAAAGGCTGAGGAGAGAAATTTAGAGACACATCGGAGGAGAACAGCAGGTGGGAGATCACCAGGATTAGAGACTGGTGGAGATGAGAGAGAGAATGTGCTGACAGTCCAGGTGGATAGTTTGTGATGGTTTAGGAGACATTCACAAACCTTCAAAACATCGTGGCTCCTGAAGAAATCTGCCAAACTGTTCATGTGTTATGCTGTGTGTGTGTAACGCACTCTGTCTGTGTGTTATCCTGCATGTAACATGCTTCGCCTATGTTATCCTTGTGTGCCAACCTAGTGCAATGATAGCACTGAGAGAGTCAGAAGGTTGTGGGTACAAGCCCCACATTGGGACTTGGAATCACATTGTCTAAGATGACACTCCAATACAGTGTTGGGAGTGGGTTACATTGATGGAGGTGCTGCCTTCGGATGAGATGCAAAAACGAGGTCCCATCTGCCTGTTCAGGTGGATGTTGAAGATCCCATAGCGCTATTCAAAAAGAGAAGGGAGTTTCTCTCTGCCAGTGTCCTGGCCAACAATCTCCCAAATAAAATCGATCACTCATTCCATGACTGTTTGCGGGACATTGCTGTGTGCAACTGGCTGTCGCGATTGCCTACAAAACACACACTACACTTTACAATATATCCTGTGAAGTGCTTTGAAACGTCTCATTGATGTGATAAGGCGCTTTATCAAAAAAATGCAAGGATTATTATGAAACACACTCCGACTGTGTTATCCTGTATATAAATCCTAGACTGTCCAGCGCTTTCGGATGTTCTCCCAATGTGAAAGGCGCTACACAAATGTAATTTGTTGCTGTTGTATGTAACGTGTTCCGCCTGTGTGTTATCCTGTAAGTAACATTTCATCCTATGTGTTATGTTGGGTGTAACACTGTAAGAACCGTAGAATTGCATAGGACTTCACGCTGTATTCAGGAACCAGATGGACTACCAAGACTATCACAGGTTGACTCAATTCCGACGTTCCGTTGCCAAGCACATCACCCCGGTGCCAGTTCAGCTGATGGCGGGGGCCTGCCCCCTCACCAGAGGACATTCCTCAGGTAGGGAAGTATGGTAAGTAGAAGTTGGAGTGAGATTGAAAAATTGAACATTTTCAGCACGTTAAGTTTATCTAAGATGCTATTTTATCCATCATTCCTGCTTTCCAGATCTCTCCCTGTAAGTACTTTAATAGAGCTAGAAATTTGTGTCAGCCTGGCTTGGTTGATAGCACTCGACCTCTGAGCCGGATGATTGTGGGTTCAAGCGCACACGTCTGGGGCTTTGAACTCACACAGTCTAGGCTGACGAACTAGTGCAGCTCTCCGCTGCATTGTCAGAGGTGCCGTCCTTTGGATAAGACATCAGATGTATGTTAAAGATTCTAAGGCACTATTCGAACAGATTGTTTCCCTGTGTCTCGGCCAACAATCCCTCAAATAAAATAGGTCATTCACTTCACTTCTGTTTGCGGGAGCTTATGCAAAATCAGTTGCCACAAACGTGTCTATAAATCGCTCCACTTCTGTGAAGCCCTTTGAGATGTGAAAGGCGCGATATCATACACGAGGATTAGAAATGGATTGTATCGAGATAGTTAAGCATTGGGGGGGGGGAAAAACATCAAATGCGAAATGAATTGACATTGTGTTTTGTTTAAATTTCCACAGCGTTTAAATATCTCGGAAACAATCCAACCTTTCTCCTCCAGTGGAGCCGGATTATTTTGTTACTATCTGCTGAAAGAGGAACTGATAAGTCGCTCACTCTTGTGCTCTCACTCTC